TAATATAATATAATATAATATAATATAATATAATATAATATAATATAATATAATATAATATAATATAATATAATATAATACAATATAATATAATATAATATAATATAATATAATATCTATAATTATATCTACAATATAATAATGCAATAGAGAATATAATATAATATAATACCTATAATTATAATCTATAATTATAAAAACGAGGTGCAAGGCTCGAATAATCATATCTCCTCTTATCAAATTGTCCATTTTCGTGTATAAATTGTAGGAAAATTCGGCAGAATTTACCGTATTATTTATAAGACACAACGGCTGCGTAAATTGCTCTTCAAAATGACGTCGAGTAGGAGGTCCTAAACAGCTAACATACATTATAATCTTAGGTTAAACATTGTCCGCTGCGATCGTTTTACGTCATACCTATATTCAAATGCGTCCACGCGCTGCATAACTGAAATTAAATAATATACAGGAGCAAAGCCGTAACACGGAACAAAGTAAACACATTCTCACAAGAACCGACGATTAATGCGAATCCTGAATGACAACTGTCCTCTTGCAGAATGATGCAATCTTTCCTCGTATGTGCATCCGGTATCTAATAATGCAAATTGCAAAAATGGTAGTCCAAATGTTGGTCTAAATCATAAATGCTGGTCTAAATGATCACAGATTGCGGCAACAATAAATATTAAATGATTTCCACCGGATCTTTTTCGCAAGTTAACGATCTTTTTTTACTTAGTTACAAGAACAGAAAGGATATTGACTTTAATGATCGTTCCGAGCCAGAAATAATGCGAAATTCTTCACCAGCATAAATTTGAATATTATTATCCTTTTTTGCTGCATAGCATCGCGAGACAGTGAAATAATAGTTAAATATAAATGTAAAATGATTACATATGTAGACACTTAAACAGTTTGTGTGTAACATAAATTAAGATAATAATTAACTATTAATTATATTATTTTATAGTGAAATAATAAACGATCATCTAAATCTTCAAATAATTAGATCGATACGTATTAAATGACTAGACGAATAAATATCGGATT